GAGAAAGGGGGGAGAGAAGAGGAGAGAGAGATATTAGGGGTGGTAGAGGCATGAAAGAGAGAGAGATGGAAGGGAGAGAAGAGGAGAGATAGCGATATCAGAGGAGGGAGAGGCCTGAGAGAGAGAAAGGGGGGAGAGAAGAGGAGAGATATCAGAGGTGGGAGAAGCATGAGAGATGGACAGAAAGGAGGAGATGGAAGAGGAGAGAGAGATGTCAGAGCTGGGAGAGGCATGAGAGATGGACAGAAAGGAGGAGATGGAAGAGGAGAGAGAGATGTCAGAGCTGGGAGAGGCATGAGAGATGGATAGATAGAAAGGGGGAGAGTGAGATGAGAGGTGAGAGAGGAGGGGAGATAGCGAGAGAGACAAGAGAGGGCTTCATGGCTTTGACGTGAGCCCGAGATCTGTGTCAAATTCAGCAACATGTGGAGCTCCAAAACCACATCGGAATACAGTTGCGAAAGTCCCCACTCTGCACCAGACAAATACAAATACGATGAACAAAAACAGCCCCAAGTGGAAGATCATTTTAGGGCGTTGTTTAAACTGATGACAGTGGAAAGAAGCAAGATTTCCTGCATCTCAATGAATGATATCTTCTGCCAGAGGGAAGAAGCTGGAACATGGCTTTTCCAGGGGCTAGAAGTGTTGTGATTCCTCCCTGCTGCTCCCCCTCCTGTTTGGGTTCATCACCACACTCACCTGAAGAGCTCCACAGCTGCTCAACATTCCAGCAATCACCAGATATAAAAGCATAAGAACCAGCCTGACCTTGTCTCCGGTGCCAGGTCGTTCCGGCACAAACGCGGTGAATCAACCTTCGGCTTGTCCTGTACTTCATAGTGTTGAAGTTTTTTTTTGTACTAATGCGTTTTTCTCAATTTTTTCAGTACCTTTTCAGTCCCATCATGGTCCCGTCATTGGTCAGTCTCTTACCACCTCTCCGTCGTTTTCTTTCCTGGTTCCGTCCTGTCCTCTGCCCCGGTCCCATCACGCTCCCGCCCCGGTCCCGTCTGGTGTTCTTTAAACCAGGCTACTCCTGATTTAGATTTTTGTAATTAAACCTTTGGTCTATTCTGCATTTTTAGGTCCCCAGTTCTTACACCTAACAAGAAAAGTCATTATTTAAAAAAAAAGGCTAGGTTTAGGAGTCTGGATGTACGTGGGGTAAATGATATACGCAAAACCAATATACTGTACAATAACAAAATAGTACTTGATCTTATCTTATTTGAAAGGTATTTAAGTCCCCCCTCTCTAAAAGTAAATCTGCTCGACCACAGGACCACAGATTATTTTGGTCCTTTCACTTCTCAGTAAAACTCAGTAAGTTTTGTTTTTGTCGTTCTTCCATTTGGCTAACCCTGGAGACACTGAATCTGAAACTATTGAGATACGTTTTTTTTTTTAGTTATTCTGTCACGGAGGGGACTAAGCAAGACCAATCCAAGCAATACCAGTCTGGGTAAGAAAACATGTCTAGTGTAAACTCACCTCAATAATTGGTACAAAAATGTCCCTAAATACACTCAAGTTAGTTCATTATTCATTTTGACACAGATCTGGGAAGCAGGCTTGGTCCAGTTAAAGCAGGGGTGTCCAAACTTTTTAGTAAGAGGGCCACTTTAGTTCATCAGACTTGACCTCGGGCTGAAAACCAAGATTTAAAAACTCGATTGACTGGATTCTGGAATTTAAAATAGGTAATGATACTTCTTTATTGAAGTATTAAAGCCTCTCCAGGTGGGTGGAGAGGTCCTTCCTCAAGTGGAGGAGTTCAAGTATCTCGGGGTCTTGTTCACGAGTGAGGGAAGGATGGAGCGTGAGATTGACAGGCGGATCGGTGCAGCGTGCGCAATGATGCGATCTCTGTATCTGACCGTTGTGGTAAAGAGGGAGCTGAGCCGAAAGGCAAAGCTCTCGATTGTAATGTCCGAAAGAACGAGATCGCGGATACAAGCGGTCGAAATGAGCTTCCTCCGCAGAGTGGCTGGCTGCTCCCTTAGAGATAGGGTGAGGAGCTCAGTCACACGGGAGGAGCTCGGAGTAGAGCCGCTGCTTCTCCACGTCGAGAGGAACCAGTTGAGGTGGCTCGGGCATCTGTTCAGGATGCCTCCTGGACGCCTTCCTGGGGAGGTGTTCCGGGCACGTCCCACCGGGAGGAGGCCCCGGGGAAGACCCAGGACACGCTGGAGAGACTATGTCTCTCAGCTGGCCTGGGAACGCCTTGGGGTCCCCCCGGACGAGCTGGAGGAAGTGTGTGTGGATAGGGAAGTCTGGGCGTCTCTGCTTAGACTGCTGCCCCTGCGACCCGGCAACGGATAAAGCGGAAGAAAATGGATGGATGGATGGACTTCTTTATTGATCCACAGCTGCATTTTACTTGGAATGTTGTGACACAATCATACAACAAATGACAGTAAACAACAATAGAGTGGGTTGGTGGAGCTGAAGTTGGTTGGATGACACAATGGCGACTTTGTCTTAGCAGCCTCATAAACTGGCACAAAGGGCCGCAATTGGCTCGCGGGCCTGAAAACGGACATGCCTGAGTTAAAGTGATCCCCACCAGCAAAATAGACCAGAGCTGATCATTTCTTGGACAATAAATGGTCCAATAATCAAGTTAAGAAGTGAAGGATTTATATGAGTTGAGTAACAAGTTAAAAACACAAATTACTAAACATAAACATATATATATATATTTTTTTTTTTCTGCCTGAGATGTCACTGCAGTTCAGTGTTCATGGTTTTACACTGGTCCAGACCAGAGCAGAGAGGATTCATGGTTTTGCACTGGTCCAGACCAGAGCAGAGAGGGTTCATGGTCCAAACCAAGTGGATCAGGGAAAATCCACTGGAGGAATGCTAACTTTTTGAAAAATGCTAATGAAGCATTTAGCATTTTACTTTGGCCCAGAGCAGAGAAAATGGTCTGAACCAAGCTCCACCTCTGCTGCTGTGACCCGTCCTGCTCCACCCAGAGGCTACTCCACCTCTGCTGCTGTGACCCGTCCTGCTCCACCCAGAGGCTACTCCACCTCTGCTGCTGTGACCCGTCCTGCTCCACCCAGAGGCTACTCCACCTCTGCTGCTGTGACCCGTCCTGCTCCACCCAGAGGCTACTCCACCTCTGCTGCTGTGACCTGAGGCTGTTGCTGATTAATACTATTGTTAGCGTTTTAGAATGATCAATTTTAATCTTTTTTTTTTTTTACTGCTACTGGACACCTGAATTTCTCCTACGGGGATCAATAAAGTATCCATCCGTCCGTCCGTCTATCCATCTAGAAACATACTGTGTTTGCTAACTGTTATTTTAAAGACCAAGAATAAATAGATCGATCGAAGACCAAACTGACCTTGGTTTGAGCGTTTTCTTCTTACCTTGTTTTATTTGTGTGTTTGGTGCACACTGGAGACTTCAGCAAATGTATTCCAATGTGGTTATACTGCAAATGTCAAGTACAATCAAACTGAAAGTGAATCTTACGTCCTCGGAACGCCTCAGGATTGTGAAGGATCGGGAACGTGTCTGGGGAGAGGGAAGTCTGGAAATCCCTGTGATTGCAGACTGCTGCCCCCGTGATCCGGCCCCAAGATAAAGCAGGAGAAAAGGGGGTGGAAACATGAATAATACCATGTTTATAAAGTGTATGTATCCCTCCTGGTCATTCCAAGCTCTTCGCATCAATAGCGTCTCACTCCAGTGGGCACAGACTCTGGGTTCAAGGCTCCGGGAATCACACAAACGGTACATGTGTTTTTCAACCTGTGGGCCGCGGTATGTTTGTGTGCCGTGAGACTTTGATTTGTGATCCACTATCATTTAAATCAGGTTTTAAACTCAGGCCTGTGGTCCAAACTTCATTTGTAGTGGCCCCTGAGAGGATTTTCATGTATTTATTACAGTAACTTGCGGAATTGATGGTATTAGGATACTATGGCATGTTATACTTCATTTTAAAGCTTAGTTTCTTAGTAAATCAGCTATATAATTTAATCTTTTTAAGTTTGGCCAAAGACAATTGCGTCTGATGTTTGGCACAATTTCAGATAAATCCAAATCTACACAGAAAATAAATATACCACTTTTTGACTTTGGCCCCAAGCAGCTCTTACGTTTCTAAATTTGGCCCCAGACAAATTGAGTTTGACACAGCTGATCTAATTGGTCCAAAAAATGTGAATAGAAAACAATGTCTAAAGAATAGAACAAATGATTGCGCTTGTTTGAGTTTCTATATAATGCAGTTTGATGATAACGACTTTCTAATTAAAGGTTTCAGAGTTTGTTTTTTGCCGGTGGTTTGCCGGGAGATATTTATTAAAGAAAAAGGTGGGCCACGGATCAAAAAGGTTGGGAAACACTGGGTTGCAGGATGGGGACGGGGCACACAGATCCCATCCTAAAAGTTCCATTGTATCTATAAACACTCAGACTCCCAAAATTCTGAAACCACACTGGCAAAAATCTCTTGAAAAAAAATATGAGAAAAAAATATGAAAATAGTAAAATACTGATTAATATACTGTAAGAAAATATGACTTTTCTGAAAATAAAAAAATAATACTAGCCCCAAATGACTAGTAGATTCTAGTAGAAAAACATAAATCTCAAGTATTATTTCATTATTTCTTAAACATTTTTGAGAAATGCTTTCTTAAAATATAACATAACTTTATTAATCCAAACAAGAGAAGTTGTCTGGAAATAAGCAAAAAATACTTAAAACAAGCTTAAAAACTCACTGCTCAGACTTTTTTCTCTAATAAGATTATGAAGTATCTTAGAAATATTACAATAATCTGATTACATTTAAGCAAAAAAAAATATTCCATTTAAAAAAAAGCCATATATGATTTTCAATTAATAAATCCAAGCAAGATTTTACTTTTTTCAGTTTACTAGAACCCCCAGAGCCGTCATTGTGACTGCTCCCATTCAAACCGACGGAATTCTGAAAACATTGAATTGAGTTGAGGCTTACAAAATCGGTTCAAATGAATTTTATTCCATTTACAAACAGAAACCAGGACAGCAACGAGCCGTAAACTTGTGTGAAGGCTCCGTAATCCGTAATCGTGGTTAAACCCATGGTGTTAGATGTTATGTGCCGGCCGTACTCTGCCCACACTGCGTCTTGTGTTGACGGCGTGACCTCCCGTCTCTCCGCCGCACCTGCAAACAACACTCTGCTCCTGATCCGTGTTGTGCGCTTGTGAATCACTGTTCTGTGGATCCAGGCCTGGAGCGGGAGGGCCTCAGATGAATGATTCTTTACCCAGCTCAAGAGAGACGTGTGGGGGCTACAAAGAGCGCCCACCCCCCCACACATGTTCCAGCAGCCCACGCCTGCGAGTCCTGGAGCGCTCGGTGGGAGGGGGAGAAGCTCGAGCGCGGTAGTACATCGAGAAACGGGCCGAGACCAGAGGGAGCAAAGCAAACGCATCGGGGATTATGGTAAGACTACGGCAGCATTGGAGTAAATAAAGTACAATAGATCCAGGTTTAAAGTCTGTGGTAGTTTTTCAAAGACCTGATGGAGCAACCGCTGTAGAGTCCATTTTCTTTTCAAAACGATTTTATGCTAAGTGGTAGCAAGTAAATATTAGACCTCTTTTCCTGCCTTGTATTTGTCTGGTGTGGAGCTTATGGAAGTGGAGAAGGTCAAAAACCCGGGGCACGTCATCAGGAGGGACCTCAATGCCAGTCAGAGGTAGAACTGTAAACTGTGTGGACACGCTAAAGCCTGGTTCACACGCTAAAGTCTGGTTCACACGCTAAAGTCTGGTTCACACGCTAAAGCCTGGTTCACACGCTAAAGTCTGGTTCACACGCTAAAGCCTGGTTCACACGCGACGATTTTAAAATTGTCGGCCGATTTTCCAGACCTAAGAGACCCCACACACATAGATAAAAAATCAAGCGTCTAACACATTGGTTGTACAGTGTGTGGTGCGCAGTAAAATCACACAAACCACACACATGACACACAGACGCATTTCACTCCCGAGCATTCCCAGGTCAAACGGGAAATCTCGCAAAATCTCCAGAGATCAAGCGTGACTTCAGAGTAAACAATCTTGGCGGACGAAGAGGATGCAGTGACGAAAGTTTGCAGTTTGTTTTTAACAGCGAGCTCGGACTATCCTCCATCTCCGACGTCACCATCACCGGACTCTCTGCTGCGCCGCTGACTGTTAGGGTTCTTTTTCCCGATGTTTCCTCACCACCTCGTAGGGCTGGGCGATATGGCTGAAAACTATATCACTATATAAGTAGTTCATATCGGTCGATAACGATATATATTGATTGTTTTTTATTTATCTGTACATTTGTCGTGTCGGCTATCACATGTTAGCAGCCTTGTTTACAGTCACGGGGGAATGAGGCTGGAGCCAAATGTTCACAAGCAGTCTCCCCCACTTTAGTCCTGGTTTAATCCTGGTTTAGTCCTGGTTAGGCTCCTGTTTTGGCTGTTTTCGAGTGTCTTGTGTCCCTGTGGCGGCTCCGTAAAAAGTTAATCTCTTGCTTTCGCCGAATGCATCAAGTCTCTGCCTCTCCCGCCGCACATGCTGTTCCTCTCACGGACGTGTTTAACCATTGACACGGCCTGAAACACGATCTTTAGATCCGCTGTGATAGGTCGAGAAGCCTTTGCCTACATCCCCCAGAATGCCATGCGCTTCTGACTCGGCTTTACTTCCTGTGTTTTGTTCCTGTTTTTTTTCGAAGGGACTGAAGTGAAACTATCGAAGTTCTATCGACCCCGTTTTCTATTGATATCGAACACGTGTCTATCGCAATATATATCGATATTGTTTTATCGCCCAGCCCTACCGCCTCGTCACCCTGTCTTCTGATTGGCTACACACCGCAGTCACTGACAGCGTGCTCATCTGTCCCGAAGCCACACATGAAGAGAAGTCGGGCCAAAATAATCCCACGAGTTGAATATCCCAGATTTGAGATCGGAGCAGTCCCGAAGTCCTTCTGAGCGACGCAGTCTTAACATACCACACTATTTGACCAAAATCTGAGCTTTTTGATTGACGTTAGGGGTAAATCGGGTCTTAAATCGGCCTAATTATCCTACCGTGTGAACCAGGCTTAAGGCACGGAGATTCCACATGTGCACCGACAAAGTGAAATGAACTATGTCTGAAACTCTATACTGCCCCCAGTGGTGCAGGTACAGAAAGAACAAGAAAGAACAAGTATAAGAAGCTGCAGGTTGCAAACAATGATGCACTCAGACTGAGGACTTTAAAATGTGGTTATGGATGTTTTAACTTGTCATGTAAAGAGCAGTGTAAGGCTTCTTTGGAGGCATTGGAGAAACTGTCTATACAGAATCTTGTAAATATGAAATAGTATGTTTGTTTTTTGTCTGTTTGTTTGTTAAATGGATTCTTTGTGTGTCTGAATTAAAGATAAAATTAAATTATGTTGCTTCGGTAACTAGTGGTCCTGGTGTTGGCTCTACTTTAGGAGCTAAAGGTAAAACTTCTCTCACTTGAAAATTAAATAATAATAATAATAATAATAATGATACAGAAATAAAGTAGATATGAAGACACAAAAAGCCACAAAGTCCAGAAGCCTAAGAATTAACAAAACCGGATTAATTACACTTCCAGAACTGAAAGGCGTCAATTTGAGGTTGGTGCAGACACGGTATATATTTAATTAGACATAAGGTCAGGGTTAGGGTTAGAATTACTAATGAGCCCTTCAAATATTACAACAAAACTTATTTCTATGTACAAGGTTTAAATTCTTTTTAAATGTAATGGGTGGAAAATAAACAGTTGTGCTCAAACACCCAAAAAGTCAGGTATTTGTTTGAAGACATATGGTTCATTCAAGTACAATAACAGGTGTTTTCTCAGTATCAATCAATCATCAATCAACTTTATTTGTATGGCGCCTTTCCAACACAAGGCCACTCAAAGCGCCTCACAACCCACATAATATCACACAAATCAGAGACATCAATAAATACATTAAAAACAGAATAAAATCACAAGTAATGAAAAAAAAAAAATATATATATATATATTAAAAGCACACACGGGATTAAAATAATAAATAACCACAATGCATTAAAAAAAAAAAAAAAGAGTATGTATCAATAAAATCCTTCAGCCGTATGCACAGCTAAAAAGAACAGTTTTTAGCCCTGATTTAAAAATTGCCAGAGTAGATGCTAGCCTCACATCTTCAGGAAGATTGTTCCAGATTTTAGCTGCATAAATCTCAAACGCTGCCTCCCCATGTTTAGTTCTGACTCTTGGAACCAGTAAGAGGCTACCTCCTGTGCTCCTCAGAGTCCGGGCCGGTTCATATGGGACTAACAAGTCGCTTAAGTACCCTGGTGCGAGGCCATGGAGAGACTTGTACACAAGCAGTGCTGCTTTGAAGTCTATTCTCTGAGCCACAGGAAGCCAGTGCAGAGACCTGAGAACTGGACTAATGTGGTCATATTTCCTGGTCCTGGTCAGGACTCGAGCTGCAGCATTTTGGACATACTGCAGTTGTTTTACAGCCTGTTTGGAGAGACCTGTGAGCAGGCCATTGCAGTAGTCTAATGCATGGATGAGAATCTCCAGATCTGATTTAGACACTATGTTTCTAATTTTGGCAATGTTTTTCAGATGGTAAAATGCTGCTGATGTTACTGATTTTATATGACTGTTAAAATTTAAGTCTGAGTCCATTATAACTCCTAGGTTTCTGACCTTGCCTACAGGTTCCAGGGAGAGAGACTGAAGGTGACGAATAACGCTCTCTCTTTGTTTCTGAGGACCAAAGACAATCAATTCTGTTTTGTCTGCGTTTAGCTGAAGGAAGTTATTTTGCATCCAATCACTAATCTGTTGAGAACAGTGAAGGAGTGATTCCACTGGTCCATGTTCTCCTGCAGTAAGTGAGACATAAATTTGAGTGTCATCAGCGTAATTGTGGTAGGATACATTGTTGGAGCGTATTAACTGACCTAACGGCAGCATGTAAATATTGAACAGAAGAGGCCCCAGAATTGATCCCTGTGGCACTCCGCAGGTCAGAGCCATATGATCTGAGACACAGTTTCCTATCTGAACCAAGTATTTCCTGTCTTCTAGGTAAGACCTAAACCAACTTAGGGCAGTCCCAGTGACACCCACCCAGTGCTCTAGTCTCTGCATGAGGATCTCGTGGTCGACTGTGTCGAACGCAGCACTCAGATCCAACATTACTAAAACTGTGACTTTTCCTGTGTCGGTGTTAAGTCGGATGTCATTTGTAACCTTCACTAGTGCAGTCTCAGTGCTGTGATTGGCTCTAAAGCCGGACTGGAGCGCATCAAACGAACTATTAGTTACTAAGAATTCTGTAAGTTGTTGGTAAGCAACTTTTTCCAGAATTTTTCCCATAAACGGCAGATTTGAGCAGTACATAGCATAAAGTATTTCAGAAGACACAGGAAAACTACCACTCAGATCAATGGGTATTTATGAACCGGGATAACAAAAAGAAGCCCTGAAAAGATACAACAATATTACCCAAGGATCCCGTGTTGACAGACTTGGCCCCAAACAAAAGCTGGGTCTAAACTCAGACTAAATCAAGGACTTAATTCGTACTGTTTTGTTCTTCTATTCAAGCCTGGAGCAGGAGTGTCCCAGATGAATGATCCTTTACCCAGCTCAGGAGAGACGTGTGCGGGGTCTACAAAGAGCTGCTACACCCCCTTTTTTCTCCTGCCCACGCCTCCATCACACACACACACACATATACACACACACACAAACACACACACGTACACACACATATATACACCCACACCTCCATGTCCCTGGGCTTTCTACAGGAGGGGCCGTCTTGCTCGTATATACAGTGCGCACACACACACACACACACTCAAGACACAGACACAAACACACACTCAAGACACAGACACACACCTACACACACACACCCACACACTCAAGACACAGACACACACACCTACACACACTCAAGACACAGACACACAGACACACACACCTACACACACTCAAGACACAGACACACACACGCACGCACGCACGCACGCACACACACACGCACACACTCAAGACACAGACACAAACACACACTCAAGACAGAGACACAAACACAAACTCAAGACACAGACACACACCTACACACACACACACACTCAAGACACAGACACACACACCTACACACACTCAAGACACAGACACACAGACACACACACGCACGCACGCACGCACACACACACACGCACGCACGCACACACACACACACACGCACACACTCAAGACACAGACACAAACACACACTCAAGAC